TGGAGTCGACCCAGTACATTGAGGGCATATTCATTGCTCGAAAAGGAGAGAAAACTTGCTCATGTCGCATTGTATGTTGGAATGAAGTAATGGGAGACACATTCTGTCGCTTTGGCTTGTACAGAACAAAAAACCGTTGGTCCAGTCATGGTCGTTGGTCAAGAGCATGTGGCATTAGCCAACTTGCGATAGTGCCTGGCTCCGTTGCTGAGAAGTTGGTAGATTGGCGAATATATGTTGTCTTACTCGGAGCAAACGGGCAGACAACACAAGCAGGCCCAAAAGTTAGTCGGCGCAGTTCGTGATGGTTCCCGGTTACGTCTGGTTGGTTGATAGGCGCACCACCGCAGGAGACTCTGGCGGGCAGCGTCGCACTGACCATCGACTATTTGTAGATGACTGGCAGAATTGATTGGTGGATCTCAATGTCAGTGCCTCAAGTATCTCGAAGTACCCGTCATCTGTCACCTTTTCCTTTCCAACCTGAGCTCAACATCCCGGACCGCTAAACCCAGAGTAGCTTGGGGGCGGGATTGCGTTATTTGCATTTGAAATTGGTGGGGTTTTGCTTTGGTTCGGTGTTGAACACTCTCTGAGCCCTCGGGCTATTGTTCGGTACCGTGCCGTACTATATTGGAGTCGAGCTCGAGATTGTTCAGACGGGTACTCGGTTAGAACCCACAGGGTATTTCTAGCGCAGCACCGTCGTTGTTTTTGTCCGTCCAGTATACACACAATGGTATGTGGTCCATTCCGAGGAGCTGTTGGGGCAGTTGTCGCCTGCTCTCCGTGGCCATGTAACGAATTTGCCTTCTTCTCGAGGATGTCTTTATGCCCTTCTGTCTACAGGCAGGCAGCTGTTTACATGGGTGTGTGTTTGCACAGACGAGCGTAGGTCTTTGTATCTGCACATCAAATCTCGGGGCATTTACCTTGCATACTCGGTCGGGATGCAATAAAAGCCCAGCCGTGAGGGGTTGTTTGGTTGGCCTCATCAGTGAACCGCTATTGCCCGAATGGGAAACCCGATGTCAGTGTGTCTGGTAGTACGACAGGCTGGTTGTTCACGCGGAATCTGGGATAAAGCCTCCGCACCAAGCGTGTCTCACTCTGAGCAGTGGCCAAGGAGCAGAAATCTACCAGACAGTTTCCAGCTTTTGGCACAACGAAATGCTAATATAAAGCAGTGGCTTCCAATAGCTCTGTGCTTTCGTTTCCAGGGCCAACTCGTTGACATCTCGCTTGTGCGTCAGCCGAGTTCGTGGTATCCAGAAGGAATCGGGGCCGCGATGCTGTTATCATGACAGTCACAGACTCGCAGGCAGGGTCTGGCCCTCACTGTTTTCGGTGGGGGTTGCAATTGACGGATGAGACGAAGACGCTGATTGAACTACTAGACTAAACTGAGTGGCTAAGTTATCTGGTGTACAGGGGTGGTGACTCGGCCAACCCCAATGATATGTCTCTCGTCACCGACATTGTCGAACACATTGGGTCGAGCCGGTGATCCTTTGTGCCTCAGATTGCCGACAATGGTACGCCAAAGTCAATGGTACTTAGTCCATGTTGCCCGTCAAGGAAACGAAAAGTCATCCACCGATGCGATAATGCCGAATCGTCTGGGAGGGCAGAGAAGGCGAACCTACATGCCCATCCAGCCTCTGACCAGACACCATGTAAGGCCAAGCTCTTTGAGGAAGCCAGAGAATCCCAGTATCAACTGTTGCAGTTGTGGACATTGTAACACTGATGTCAGTCAGTCTACTTGTTAATAGTTGACCCATGACCATTTTGCTAGGGATCGGACATCCTGTCTATCATCAGACCCAAGCCAACGTATTGCAGTACGTATATCGCGGATTACTGCCGTGATATGCGTGAAACTCCGTTGCCTTGTTTGATCAAAGCTTGACCAAACTCCTTTTGCTCCAGCTTCCGTCAATGCATCAATGTGGTCTGAATTTGGGTATTTTGTGTATTCTGGCGGCGGAACAAGATGCAATTTCCCGAGACGGCACATCGACTGTCAGGTGCGTTAAGGATCAGGATCACTCAGAAACAGATATGGCGCAATGTGTAGTACCGTCGCAGCTGAATATCGCCCATGGTGAAGAAAAGAATTTTCAACAGAAAGAATCCAAAAATGTGTGGTAGCCATGAGAATGAAACGACATGGATAGTTGAGCAGGGAAGGCACGACGGTGTTCGGCGGGGTGGGGAACCATGACCTCGTCTGCATCGATAATTTCTACTCACCATCAAGCCTCCCAACCTCCTCCCCTGCTCGTCCACCCAAATTTGCCCGCCACGTTCGCTTCATTCATGCAAAACTGCTGCTGATACTTCGCCGAGTCAGTGGCGAGGTCAAACATTGTCATCACCTTATACTCCATATTCTCATCCAGACGACACGGAGTATACTGTTGGGCAACTCAGCCCAGCCTCAACCAGCACCACGTACTCCGTACAGGAAAGGAGACTGATTCCGAAGACCGCACAGCTTCCATATACCGAGTTGAGTCCAAGACCAACAAGAGCCTGATTGAGACCTATGCCAGTTGGTTGTTGCTGCTACGTACGACGCACGGAGTATTGTAGGTCCAGTACGGAGTACGGTGAAGGGGCTTAGTACTCTGCTGGATGGCTTACTTTTGGAGTAACAAGGAGGTAGCCGACACCTAGAAGCGCATTCAGACAATTAAAGCCATGAATCGATGCACAACAGTCGGTAAATCCACACCATTCCTGCGTCCACGGCATAGGCTTCTCTTGTCGCCAAGCCATGATATCATGATACAGGACACTATATACAACAATGGAGGCAGCCACAGCATGTCGGCCCACCTTAGGTCCCCTAATCCAAGCATGCCCGGTGTGGCTGACAAGTAGTTATAGTTCATACTTTGGTCTACGAACATTTGCTTGTTTGAAGTCCACCGAGTGCCTCGGGTCAAGTAATCAGGGCCGCCTGTAAGGAGCTGACGCTGCACGTGGCAGCTTCACTCTTTCTCAGAATCTGTGACGTTGTCCTCCATTCCAAAAGTAGACAGGTTGGGAGGCTTGTGTCTCCATGGTCTGTCGGCTCACCACCTTGTTCTTGTCAGTTATCATCAGCAACTTCTCGGACCCTCGCCAGACCTCCGGGTTGGGCCTCCTGGGGCTGGAAACTGAAGCCGTGATTGATTGGTCAAGGCCCGTGCCAACGCCCGTTGTTGGTTCAGAGAATCTTGAACAAGGATCATCCAAACCTTTCACACCGTCAGGTACCTCAATGTACCTCAGCGAGTTATGGAAAGGATTCAAGTTGCGCTAGGAAGCAAATCGTCGCTGTGGCTTTTGCGGTGGAGATGGTCGGCCCTGTCCAGATACCACCAGGTCTTCCAACACCACGAACAAATGACTAGGCCTCCGTGTTTTGTCCCCACGGTTGCATCCACGGTAGCAACCACGCACATCGGTCTTGTATCGTTTTACGAAAATGTCTTGGCAGACAGTCATTGCTGGATCATTTACTCCCTGAAGCCACCACCAATCTCACCCTGCGTCTTGGACTGGGTTTCCGAGCGCAGAATACCACGGATTGGAGCATGAGAGCTAAGGTGGATGTGGGGGATCACACACCTGGTGGACAACACTCACGGGGATCTGACATGATCAAATTGCAGAAGCATGGGGACTCCTGGAACCTCCTCTGCATAGTCTGTTCCCAGAACTGGCCCTCATGTTGCCTGACAAATAAGACCTGACCACCACCAAGCTCAACCCCTCCAAGCTTTCCCTCCATGCCATTTCCTCCCTCGCGGGTGATCACCACTCACATCACCTGTCTCTGCCTGCAACAGCTTCAGTCAGCAGCCGGTGCTGGCTTGTCTGCCAGCTTAGCCAACCTCGGGCGCACGCCAGACTGCGTTCCTTGTTCAGGATACACAGCTAGCAAAAACCACGTGAAATCCTCCACATATTATTCTCCCGCTTTCAAGTAGCAATATATCTCCACAGGCGTTTCGGTCGCTTGACATTGGAAAGCTGTACAAACCACTACTTATAACAGTCTACTTTTCATAGTACACAGCTTGGAAACAAGATTCGTTGTACACGTTACCAGTTGGCATGTCATCGCTATTGATGAGCAATGGAAAAACACTTGACTCTAGTGACGGACGGGGAGACACTATGGGCAAGCGATAGAGGTATGTCATCCGATGATGGCGCATGGGAGGGAGTGGTTTTACCATCCCCTTCACCAACAGAAGCAGCTTGGAAAGGCGCTCCCTTGCCAAGGCCAGTTCAGACTGGGCAGCTTTCGCCGGTGAGCTCGGGGATCGACACCAGCTTGGACAGTTCATCGGTTCCAACAACCGCGCATTCAGCATCCTCGTCATGCACCGACTCTTGGAGTATAGGATATGTGGACCAAGATGAAGGAGATAATGAAGTGTCTTGGGAGACCTGGGAGCACGCTCAGGATGAAGTCATGACGGCCCCGAAACTGGAACCAAACGACGACGATATCAAATTAGGGGACGTGACAGTAGCTCCGTTGACGCCAATGCAACAAATCGCAGCGCAGCATAACTCGGAAATCAAGCAAAAGCGACCACGCGGCAGGCCGAGAAAACATCCCCAACCACAGGCTGTGAATGTGAACAAAGTCACAAAGGGGCGGTCCAAGACAGGATGCATCACTTGCAGGAAGAGAAAGAAGAAATGCGATGAGGCCAAACCGCGATGTAAGGCGCTATTGGCTTGCTCTCGTTGTTTTTTTACTCTAAGCATACGGCCCTGCTAACTTGCCTGGCTTTCTCGTAGGCATGAATTGTGAGAAGAACGCAGTAGTCTGTGAGGGGTATCACGAAAAACAGATATGGAAGAGCGGTAAAGAAAAAGCTGAAGAAGGTAAATCACGAAACGAGACGGATAAAGAACGCCCCTTTGACGACTTCTCCAAGCTAATGCCATTGCCAGAGCGTATGCGACAGGAGTGCCAGCCTGTTATCACAATGCAGCCAATTTTTCATGGGGTAGAGACAACAGAGGACATGATATTTTGGAAACATTATATCAACCATCTCAGCAACGTACTGACAGTTGAAGGCGAGGCCAAAAACGCCTTCAAAGATATTATCCTGCCACTTGCAAATCAGCATCAGGGGTTGATGCACTCCATTCTTGCTGTAAGCAGCAAACACGTCGACCTAGACTCGCCATACGGAGCAAAAATACTGCAAGATAATCCTGCCGTAACCCCAGAGTCTTTACAGCAAAGAGGCGACTATCACCACGATGAGGCATTGAGGAGACTTTACAAAGACATGGAGAACCCTGTACCCAAGGAGGACCCAGCACATGACACCGTGCTTGCCGCCCGATACGGACAAATACTCTGTCTGCTCCTTCAGACGAGAGCTGAAGGAAATCCTAGAGGCGAGCATCGGGTCCATCTGCAAGCATATCAGACCCTCATCCAACACTCACCGCCAGAAAACAACACATTTCATACGTTTATAACCGAGTTCTTCCAGTATCACATATATGCTGACGACCTTTTATGGCATTCCGGAGCCAACTCAAGTCGCCTGTCTACAGACTCCTTAGGGCCTCCATCCCAGATTCATCCACCTCGACTGATTGGGGTTGGGGACGGGCTATTCCGATATCTTTCACAAATCACTACGCTGCGGAATGTGATCCGAGCAAACGTAGCCGCGTCAGTAGACCCTGTTGTCGACTACACTAGCTTGTATCGTGCGGCCGAGATTGACGCGGCCATCAGAGAGTGGGTTCCTCGATGGCCACTTGGAGACAGTCGCCATAGAGTTGGACCGCTGTACAAGCAAATGATGTGGGTGTATCTCTTCCGGACAATATATCCGCCATCAACAACACCATCAAGACGTTCTACGTTTATGACATTGCCTGTCACTCCACCGCAGCACAACACGGGCCACTTGCAACGACGAGCCTCAATGGTGGCCAGCGTTGGCTCTTCGATATCTTCGTCAGCGATATTGTCTAACCTGACATCACCGACAGGATCCCATACAGCACAAAGTTGCCCATCCTCACGGAACCCCTCACGTACCAGCTCAATGCATGAGCAGGATACAATTCCACTCATCGGTGAAGAGTGCCAAGAGGGTCACAAACAATCGTCCCCTCCACCAGCAAGAAGACCAGCGCAGGATGATCGCCGGATTACTTTAGCCGTGGAAGAATCCCTAGCCATCCTCGAGTCCTTCAAGCCGTGTGATCCAGCTCAGACACTTCTATTAATACCTTGCACTGTGATTGGCACTGCTTGCTTCGACACCACCCAACGCAGCCGAATTCGAACGGCCATCAGAGTTATTCGTGGATACACAGGATTACGAAGCTCTGATCGCGTGATAGAGCTGCTAGAAGAAGTCTGGTCTCTGATGGATCAAGGTGACTGGATGTCCGTGTGGGATTGGCAATTCGTTGCAAAGCGACTTGGGCTAGATTTCCCCTGTGCCTGACGACAGACTTTGAGATGATTGATTCATTTCACCGTACCACTCAAATTTACGAACGCGGGAGTGATTTTGACTGCTGACGTGGAATATATGCATGAGTATAACGTACAGTCACATGGGCCTTATGTCAGGTATTTGCTTCAAGCATGCCTGAAGCACTTTTGGGCCATTGCATCTGATTCTATCATCTGTATTTCTGCCTTTTCTTTTCTGATAAGCTTTCTTTTTTATTTCGGCGCCGAGTTACAATATCCTGGAACTTCTGGCATGAATCCATGGAGTCCTCGCCGTCGACAGGTACTCATTTATACGTTTACATACGCACATGCGTACAACATCTGGGCTGGGTGGCTATGTGAGGCAACCCAAATTTCATCCAGAAGGAAAGATCTCTGTTTTCACAAACATCTCTCTTTTTTTTTTCGGGCTTTGATTTTTCGGCGGGTTGGCGATTGTCACCGGCGACGAGCGGCGGGAGGCATTTGCATTCACATTGAAGCGAACTCATATAGGTAGCAGGCACTAGCGGTTTCCATATGCTGGTGACGCTGACCTGGGGGCATTTGAACCATATTGTTCAGGGCTGGCGTTGTGATTTGTTTTTTACTAGCGGCTGGTTGGCATGCGATGCAGGGCGTCTGTCTATACCGATATATTCTAAACTCATTTGGGCAGCACAAGCAGTTCACGCGGTCACTGCTCTTTCACTTATTCTTTTTTTTATTTATTTTTTTTTCTCTTTTTCTTTTTGCCTGCCGGGGTGGCCAGATGTCTCGGTCTTTTGTTTCCTCCTCTATTCATCCCGCTACTGCCACCCCTCGTTACCCGGATCAAACTTTTATACCACAGACTCAAGGGCGGCAGGCGCTGCATCTCGTGCTTTCAACGATCTTCTTTCTTAATGAATGAAACAAATTTTTAACGGCCTCAATTCCAAGTATTTCTCACGTGATTGTTAAAATATACGGAAGACTGATCCAAAGTCTTATTATTTCTGTTCCTCAGCCTCTTCTTCGGCATCATTCTCCTCCACAATCAGTCCACCTCCAAACTCACTCGTAAATATGTCAGCCATTCTCCGGTCCTTGATCGCAAACACAACCTCCAAACCATCCCACCCCTCTCCGTCATCTTTCTCCTTCCCTTTTCTTCCACACAAGACCTTCTTCCAGGCTCTCGCGATTTCTCTCACTGGATTCCCATACGCACCGCATCCCCAAGCCCCCAGTACGAGCCTGTCAACTCCCCTCCCCTTGACCATCCTCATCACAGCTCTCATCTTCTTGAGGACTATTTCCTTATCCTTGTCTTCCACGTACGCATCCCCCTCCACATCCGGCATCCGCAACATGGCCGCTGTGACCACATCCACGAAAAACCTCTTCGAAACCGGGAGATCATGGCCCTGTGCATCCCAGCTCTTGACAACGAGTACATCAGGCGTATACACGCCTCCTACATCGGGGAGACGGTAGAAATCCTCCCGCAGAGAAGGATGCAGCGTCGTACGCCCGCAGAGGTATTCCTCTTGCGACGTGGCACCGGTCAAAATGCCACCGCCAGGGCGTAAGGGACTGGCCATGTTGAGGACGGCCACGCGGGGCATAAGCCGAGATGCTGCTTCGAGGGTATCTGTGACCCGGAGGGTGATGCGGACAGCCCGAGTCGGCGGCTCGGGTCCGGCATCCTTTGATGAAGTCTTTTCCGAAGGACCGTCACGTTGGATAGCTTCTTCTGAGGAGGAGGTTTTGCACTTGGGAGGATCGACGACGAGACAGGCTGCTTCTACTCCTCTTCTCGCGCGGGCATTGGACTTGAGGACTCGGGGAACAGTCTTGTTGAGAAACGCCTTTGCCTTCTTTGCGCGAGCGTCCCTTCTGGCTCGCGCGATCCGAGGCGGAACCGGCATTTTTCCCGTCTTGCGTAGTCGACATGCCGGGTTCCTCCCGAATCAAGCTGGCCTAGATGAGGTGGTGTTTACCTACCGACGACAGCCAGCCTGGGCCGGGTACCCTGACGGTCAGGACAACCACGATCAGACACGCTTCGGCCAATGGCGTGCTTCGAGTGAAAGTATCCCAAGAACCTTGGTGGACAAAACAACCGATCATGGTGATGATCGGACATGACGTGACGGGTATAAAAGTAAATCAGCCAAGGGGACTCCTGCGGCGACGACGGAAGTGTACTTTGCCCCGCATCACCAAATCGGTCTGGCTGGCGCCGGGTTTAGCCGCCTTGTCTGCTTATCAGATTTAAAGGCCTATTGAACAATACTCTGCTAAACTCACACACAAGCAAAATACAGGATAATTCCAATATATTTCCATCAGGCCGTTGCATATGCGCCGGGAGTACCAAACAAACATTCGCTAGTACTGAACCAAGTCACGGACCATAATACGACTGACTGACTCCCTTGAGCTGTCATGGGCTTCTTCTCATCAGTCGGTAGTGACACAACTCTGCCTTCCAAGACCTGGATGGATGCCAACTGTGCTCGAGAAAAAAAAAGAAAGAAAAAAATCCACACTTCAATCGTCTCGCCTATCTCCTTCAAAGTAGAATCTACCAAGAGGCTGCCCTCCCACCCCCGGGCTCCCAAGACCGGATGGACCTGCTCTAGCCTCACCCCTATCCAGCTGCTGAACAATTCTCTCTGCAGTCTCCCTGTTAGGGTGTCTCCCTGTAGGCAGAGGCCCACGGAAAGTAGTATCCACAAAGTTGTCTTGTTCCGTGAGCATCCCGTGGTGTGGAGCATCAGCAGCAACTCCATCCATCATCCGAGCATCTCGTCTTTCCTGGATGGCAGAGGCGCTCATGGGTGTATCGCCTCCGCTCATCAGGGTATCTCTGTCCCTGCGATAGTCGCTCATTCCCGAGTTTGTTCGCTCCAGGTTCCAGGCTTGGTGTGCTGCAGATGCGCTTGGGGGAGCGCGACGATGGTAAATGGGGCCAGAGACGGTGCTGCCTGCGCCCTCCCCAAATCCCACAAGCGACGCGGACCCATCGTCACTCATCCTATCCTCGTAACCACCAACAGATCGAGTCGCCATCGTATCCATGTCTTCGTCCATGGCATCGGCTTCGGCGCCCATGCTGGCTACCGAGTCGGCTTCCCGGTAGTTGGTGTCGGTGCTAAACATATCCTCGTCGCGCTCGCCGGCAGTCGTCCGGGTATCATCGCCAACGTGGCTCTCTGTGGCGCTCGCTGAGCCAACCGTGCTCATCTTGGTGACTGCCACGGGCTGGCCATTGCTATCAAAGTATGAGGGAGTCAAGTTGTGTGTGGTCGGGAAGTTTGGCGGAAAGCCTCCCCCGGTTGTCGACGTGGGAGTGGTTTGAGGAGAGATGGAAGATGCTCTTCCTCTTGCTCCTCCCCCTCCTCCCCCTCCTCCTCCTCCTTCCCCGGAAGCCACAGGGCCGGGGCGAAGTGTCGATACTCGCTCAAGTCCAGCCAAGCGCGATATCCGATCGGCTCGTTCAGCCTCGAGGCTGGTGGTGGACGGATTATGCTGATGCCCGCGGCCAAGAGGGCCAGAAGCAAAGTGGCCTCGATGGCCGTCTTTTATGGCAGTCGTAGACAGCGCGGATAGTGACGTCGTCGTGCTGGTGGGTGTCCCTCTACACCGCAGTGGACTGTTAGCCAACTCTGAACGGATCGCGACCAAGCGGAGCTAAGAAATGCGACATTGATGGTGGACTGCAAAATGGGCTGCATACGGCATCTCAGATGGTGTTTCGGGATTCGACCCCGGCGGGGGGAGATTGATGAGAGTCGGGTGAGAGCCTTGCGACATGGTGGTGTATGATGCTGGACGGAAAAGTATATGTTGACCGAGTTGCAGGATGTCTGCAGAGGCCGGGGAGACGGGAGACGAAGAGCCTTCGGCAGCGGGTGCTGCGCCGTCCGTCCCAAGGACGCTGCGATGGTTACGCGGTCGCGTCGACAATGGCGCGGTAGTCGTCGATTAACGCGAGGTAGCCAGGTCAATGGTTCGGCTAATCGTGGTTGAGCGATGATGGATTCAATCCTGTGCGCCTAGTAGCCGTGGGCTGGTGGAATATGAAGGAGGAGACCCGCTTCCGAGTTGTTCAGTCGAGCGCATTCTACGGAGGACAGTTGCGGCGTTTCAGACTTCAGGGTCTTGGACCAGTTATGAACGACTTGTGAAGACGACCATGAGCAGGTGTGACTGTGACTGGCTGCCTGGCCTGGCTTGTATTACGACTTGGCGTGGATGCATTGGACCAGTCAGTCCACCAGTCCAGCATCGCGCCTTGCACAAGCGCTCCATCCAACGTCATGCCTTCACTGAGCAGAGAGCACAGAGCAGAGTACTACTAACACACACTCAAGGCAGGTGCCCACTCAACTGTAAATTGCCATATTCCTCGAGAGTCCCCACTGAGCAGCCCGGAAAGCTGCCAGCCCACCCAGCCAAATCGCGGGGCAGGAGGGGCGAGCCAGGCCAATGACGTAGGCAGTTGGCACATTGATTGGCTGGGGTCACCTTTTTCCAGCAGCTTTAGAGGCAAGAGCAGCTGCATCGTACGGAGTACTGCCTGCCCATAGCCAGGAGTCACCCTACTACCCTAGAGCATCCGACCCCGTCAACCATCTGTCAATAGGTTTTCGTTTACCGAGCATAATGGCCGGTTTTCGATATTGGGTATCCTGCCTCTTCTATTCATTTGTCACCGTTGCTCTACTTAGCAGCTACATGCATCGACTGTGTTTCATGCAGTGCAACCTGGACACCGCCTGCGCTTTCCGTGAAGATCTTGACACTCTCAACAAACTCCATACACGGATCGCGGTTTTCCACCTCCGCAAACTCTTGTGCTAGTCTAACTAACAAGTAAACGGATTGTGTCATGGCTTGTTGCTGTGCCGGACATATCCTTGGGCCGCCCGAAAATGGCACAAATTCCCATTTCGGTGCCCTACCATCAAATCGACTCGGCCGGAAAACATCGGCGTCATTACCCCAGATTTCTGAATCATGAAGATGGGCGTAAAGATCAAGCGAAACCACAGCGCCCTTTGGTACAAACACTGGGCTGCAGCCTTCCGGTCCTCCGCCCCTGGGGAGAACTGTGTCCCGAATCGCCGTACGGCTCAATCGACCGGATGATCCATGCAGTCGCAAGGCTTCAAGCACGGTGTATCGGAAGCGGGAGAGCGATCTCAGAAGCTCAAAGCTTAGATTTTGGTCGCCTAGGGCAATTGCCTGCTTTCGAAGCTCCGTCCAGAGATCTGGGTTACGAGCAAGATGAAAGAGGGTATTGGAGACCACAACTGCGGTGCTCTCGAACGCCGGTAAGAAAATGTTCATCATCTCGTATCTTAGAGTCATTGGGTCCCGGATCTGCTTTGCCATCTCATCAAGAAGCACGTATCGCGGATTCGACTGACCAATCCTTTTCTTCTCGTCTAGCGTGTTCGGCTGGGAGGCCGCTGCTAGTGCACGAGAGACTTGACGGTCCACAAAAGCATGGATCTTGTCGATATTCTCATCGACTGTGTCATTGAATAGAGACCCGAGGGCCGCAAAGGCATGTCGGCGTCTGGTCGTACCTATCAGCGCCTGAGAGAAGGCTTCCATTAAGTCATCCCCTTGGGTAGCATTTCGATCTAGTGAATTGAAAGACTCCCCAAAAATAAACTCCGTCCCGCTATCTAGAAACTAAGAGGCAATCAGCGCACTCATCCACAGTTATAGCGACAGGTTGTCAGACCGTCAAAGAGAAAGATCCGAGCTTGGAAACCCATAGAAGTACTCACCAGCCTGCAGAAAAGGGGCCTCAAATCGACAGTGCTTCCATCGCGGGGAATCGAGGAAAGCATGCGGTCAACATGTTTCTTGAAGCGATCAACATCGCTCAGTTCTGCGCGCAAGAACAACGGTTTGAGTGCATCTCGTGAATGTTTCCAATCCGGTCCATCCTTGGTAAATATGCCATAGCCGACTAGTCTTAGAATGGGTGTGATCCGAACAGTTTGTTTATCATAATCTTCGAAGTTGGCAGCAAGCATGGCTCGAAAGTTGTGCGAGTCCATAGTGGCAATTGTCTTCCCAGCTGGGGACCGTTCTTCAATTGTTCGACCATACTGAGCAAACTTTTCTTGGTAAAACTGGTTGTATTTGCCTGACAAGAGGGCCTCGAACTTCTTGCGTTGTAGGTCTTTACCTGACGGGTCTAATATCCACGGAAGGCGATGCGGATATTTGTTTGCTGCCTCACAACCGAGCTGTCGGGCTCTCTGATACTGACGCCATTTCAGAAAGACCCTGTAACCGACGAAAATTGCGGCAAGCCAGAAAGAGGCCACGACCGAGTGGACGAGATGCATTTCCCTTCACTGGCTCTAGGCATCAGCTGCAAGGAAGTAGTGACTCGATTGGAAAAGGGGGTCAGGAAGACGAAGGTCCCACGGCACTGGACCTGAATTGCGACGAAGAGATACTATTCAAATACCTCTGTTGCTGCTGGTGCCCAACATATCCAATGATTCGCCTACGTGCATCTAAAGTCGTATTTTAGCCAAGGGGTGAACCGAATCCGGTGGAAACCGATGGTCTACGTATGCAGCAGTGGCTCGAAACCAATCATCCACGCGTGTCAGCCGCTTTACAGAAGTTCCTTTGACCCGTACGGGAAATCCGGGCCGCGCGTGTAATATGCGGTCATCTCAGGCCATCGGGGCTGAAGAGATTTGACTTGCACCGCGTTCTAGCCAGTTCAGCAAGGCCGTACGGTCAGGTGAACGACACAGACCATGAAGTGATCCTTCAAATGACATTTTCAGATCAGCCACTTGGATACGTTTGATACTGGCAGTTGAAAATTTTCCCTCCCTTTTCCACCGCAGGAGAAGCTAGTCATTCCGAGACTCGCGATCACGATCCACGGACGGCACGGGCCGCTGAGAGGCTGGTGTTCCTCAGTTTAAATTGCTTGACAGTCTTGATCATCCAGTGCAAGGATTTATTTGCAGCTGGACATCTGAAAAGCAAGGATCTGACGGCGTTGGCGGTTCAAACCATTTTATCAGTTGCTTGTCTTCGGCCCGTTCTCCAAAGGCCACCTTCCAGCACATCCTCTGAAATTCTTCATCTCTCCAGACTCCATCAGTTTCCATTGTAGCCATAACCATGTATGTTGTCTGGTGTATATGTCGTAATAATCTATTTCACATCATGACTGAGAAATTGGACTCTTCTTGCAAAAAGCCTTGTAGCAGGGTACTCCAGTCAGGCATGTGCTGCATGTCCTCGAACATCCCTGCATCGTTCATCTCGACAAATTTGCGGGTTGTCGACCCCGGCATGATGCCAGTTCCGAGTCCTTGATCGACACCAGCGCTCACAGGCACCTCACTCATTGGCAACTGATGTCCGCCTTTCTCACAACCATGCCATGGTATTGACGCCGCGGCGCGTGTCATTAACGCCTTGAAAATCGTCCACTTGGGTCCCCGAAAGACGGCTGTACCCGTCTTCTCCATCACCTTGACGTATTTCTCTACAGATCTGAAGGCTCGAAGGGCGCAAGACCGCCTCGGGCGCAGGCATATGTTCCACAGAATAAACAGCATCAAGTGATACTGCGGGTATGATCGCATTGACCAGGTATACGGACGCAGCAGCTCATCCTTCAGCAAGTGCTCTCCTTCTTCAAACAGGCCAAGTGCCTCGAGGAGGGTTTCCTCCGTCGCCAAAAGCTCCTGTTGTTCCGGATGGTGGTGGGCCTCCCACTGCTGGCGCGTGACGAAGTCCAATTTGCGGACAATGAAGCGACAAGTTGTGATTGTGAGTCTTTGCATGGGAATGACGGGGTTGCATTCTTTGATAAGGGTCTCGACGGTTTCGACTAGTTTTGCGACGATGCGATCTCGAGCCTCGAAAGGTGGAGGGGTCGAAGGGTTGGACCATGATAGTTGGAGGAGGTCAGCCCATGTTTGGCAAATGCGAATGTTGGCGAGGGACGAGAGGATGCGAGTCCAGCCTTTGCGGGGTGGTGGTAGATCCTTCATGTTCGGATCCAGATCGCCGTCTTCGAGGTTGAGTGGGAGCTCAGCGCCGCCAGACATTATGACATTAGGTGTGGGAAGGTCGAGCAGGCCGAGATCTTCGGCAGCACGGCCATCACGGCCCAGCAGGTACCACCACAGACGGCGGCGGATTTCGGACTCGAACGGCGAGAGGCCGAGTTTCGTGCCGTCACGGTGGAGACCGATGGATTGCGCGATTCTTATGACTAGGCCATTGAAGGTCCAGACGGAGCGGCCCGTATTGTGGACTCGTACTGCGCTCTGGTGGTGGGCGCGAGTTAGAATGAGAGTGAGGGTAGGAAGGAGGAAATGAGGCGATGACATACAAGGTAGATTGCCATAGCCTGTAGTAATAAGACGGTAGGGTTCTCCAGCAAATCTGCCTGGGCAAAACTCTGTTCGAGTCCGGCTTTATACCGGTGCAGGGCACTCAACCAGGGCTCCCCTAGAAGCCGTGGACAGTCCTCTCTCTCATCGAGAGCCACAGTGGAGGCGTAATATACGGCGTAACACAGGGCCAATGCCTCGGGTGAAGCTGTTGCTGGGTCGTTAATCACCGTGTAGACCAAAACTTCCGAAGTCGGAATGTGGAGAATTTTGAAGAAGCAGTCGACGTTGTCCACAAAGACCCTCCATAGTTGCACAGCGGTATATTTAGAAGGGTGGAAACTTGAAGGTGGATGGGACGATAGGGGCGTTGATAGTATTCCCATGGGATTGAAGGGCGATGGGACATGTGCCTGGGACGTGTCGTCCGCTCTCGGTGTTGCGAGGGCAGTACGAACATTGCTCTCCTACGCAATTCATGTTAAAACCAAGCTCCATGGCTCTCCACAACGAGCTTGAGAACCGAGCCGAGGCTCCACATACCTGCCCAACAACACGCGAGACCAGAACCTCATTGAAGTACTGCGTCGACGAGCCCTTCTCCAGCAATATCTCCCCTCCAGGATGGGGACTGCCAACTGCCGCCGGCGAAGTTTCCTGCCCAACGGCGGCGGCTGCGCTCAAGGGGTTTGCATGCGGACCAGCAATAACCGTTTTTGGCGAAGCTAGAAAGTGGGCGTGCGGGTGCGATGCCTGTCGGCCAGGAATGGACGTCAGCGTCTCCTCCAGCCTCGATATCCTCGTCGCAACGTCATTGATGGTCGCCTTGCGCACCCTGGGCGCTCTCGGCTCCTTGGGCGGATAGGAACATGCGTGGCCGCCGCGAGAACACGGCGTGCAAGGGCACTTCTTGTCGCAGCGGACCTTGCGTCGACGACAAGTGGCGCACGATCTCTGCGCGGCCGCTGCTGAGGAGACCGAAGCTGGGGTTTGAGAACGCTCTGGTGTCTCAGGCGAGGGGGAGTGGCTCGACATCTGTCTGGAGCTAGCAGCTTGTTTCCGGCGCGTGTGCTCTTCAAGAGGGACTGAAGGAATAGGAATAGGTTGATGTCGAGGGAGCACGAGGGTCGGCCTCGGTGGTTATATACCCACCGAGGACCGAACGTCAGCCCTACCGGCTAGCCCCACCCCCTGCAAATCCCTGCTATCCCCGAGCGCCGAATCCCCGAACAGCCCAATGGCCGGCAAGCCTTTGTCAAGAATCGGGCTAGCTCTCATGTCCTGCCCTTGACAAGGGCAATGATCAAGCTTTCCACCGAGCCAGAGCTTACCAAGCTCCTTTTGTAGAGTCGGATATCCGAAACCGCGAGACCCGTCTAACCCCGATTGTGACTCTCAACATGCCAGAAGCACGGCGTGTCAGCCTGTTGAATCCCACAGGGGACAGAGGACTCCTTGTATATAAGATATGTGGCTGCTGGGCGCGTCTATTTTTTCCCCAACCCTGTGAGACATTCATGGTCAAGTTTATCTTGATCAAACCGTGAATGCGTTGACGCCTCATGTGACTTGTCCATTCGCCAACTCATCGCATCTCCAACGATACCGAGGCTTCGTCATGGCTGCACCTTCGAGTGAGAGGAGAGGCTCCTCTACTGGTTCACTATCTACCACGACCGTTGCACAACATGACGGGCACGACGTGCCATACGCGAATAATCTGTATCCTGGTGAGAAATCAGACGAGGAAAAGGCACCGCCTACTCCCAAGGAACCGGTTGTTGCTGATGGAGGCACCGTTGCTTGGCTGGTTGTTCTGGGGGCGTGGTGTGTCTCGTTTTGCAGTTTTGGCTGGATCAACAGTATGTTACCTGATTCCTCACAAAACCTGGATAGCTTTGTACCGGGCGACGTGTTGACATTGGCTAGGTGTCGGTGCGTTTCAGGAATACTACCAGCATACCATGTTGTCGTCATACTCCGCCAGCACCATCTCCTGGATCCCGTCACTACAAATCTTCTTCATGAACGCATTGGTCCGTACTCATCACACCCGCGCCATCGTCAAATACAGGGTAAAAAACACTAACAAAACCTAGGGCCCCGCGGTAGGCATGCTCTACGATAGATATGGTCCTCGACAACTTCTCCTCGCCGGCAGTTTCCTCCACGTCTTTGGGCTCATGATGTGTTCCCTCGGGACGCAATACTACCAAATCCTATTAGCTCAAGGTGTCTGTTCAGCCGTTGGTGTTTCTGCCATCTTCCAGCCATGTACGTAAAACCCGCCACTTCTGCCCATTCATTCTCCGCCAAAACCAACTAACACGGCAAAACCTCAGCAATCAACGTCATCCACGGCTGGTTCAACAAGAAGCGCGGCGCAGCGTTCGGCATCCTCGCAACGGGCTCCTCCCTAGGCGGCGTCATCTTCCCCATCATGGTCTCGCGCCTCATCCGCGAGGTAGGCTTCCCCTGGGCCATGCGAACCTGCGCATTCCTCATCCTGGCCCTCCTCATCGTCGCCAACCTCACCATCCGCGCCGCCCATCCGCCGCGCCCGCACAAGCTCACCAAGGCGCAGCTCGCAAAGCCCTTTTCCGAGTTTGACTTTGTCTTCCTGTGCGCGGGCTTCTTCTGCTTCACGTTTGGCATCTTCGTGCCCATTGACTATCTGCCCGTCCAGGCGCTCGATGCTGGCGTGGACCCCAACTTGGTGCAGTACCTGCTGTCGATCCTCAACGCCGCAAGTCTCTTTGGGCGGTTGTTTTCGGGAATCGTGGGTGACAAGATTGGCCGGTACAACATCTTTGTGACGGTCTGCGCCCTTACGGGCATATGGGTTCTTGCGCTCTGGATCCCGAGCTCTAGCACTGGAGGCATCATTGCGTTCGCGGCGCTATTTGGCTTCTGTAGCGGCGCGTATGTGTCGCTTATTGGGCCGCTGGTTGCGCAGATTTCGCCGCTGCGGGAAATCGGCTTCAGGACTGGTATTATATTCTTCATTGCGTCAATTGGTGGGTTGACAACGAATCCTATTAGTGGCGCCATTTTAGGAGATGACAAGAATTGGTTGGGCGTCAAGGTGTTTGCAGGTGTGTTTTGCTTTGCGGGAACACTTTTGGTTCTCATTGCGAGAATTCGCAGAACGGGATGGAAGTTGGCGGTTGTGTTTTAAGGCGCTTCTTTCCCCTCCCTTCTTTATATGTCGCCTTCACAGGTTTGGAGAATATAATATAATGGGTTTAGATCTCGGCATTGGGAGGTAAGCATAGATAGACTGGGGTGTTTGGATTTGGGACTTGGAAACCTGGCGAGGCTTCATTGAAATTGTTGTACCATGATCCTACTCCACTGTTAATAGCAAAATCTCAATTCCTGAAATGTCAAGCCTATTGCCTCGCAGTGAATTCCTTCTCCATATCAGACGACGCCTCCACAGGATGCTTATTCAAACTCTCATAGAGCTGTAAATAGCTCCCAATCAAGAAAGCCCACGAGCCCCTATCATCAGCACTATTAGAATAATGCCTTTAAAATCAAACCCAAAATTCTGCGAACGCTTACCAAAATGTAGCTAGCGAAGCCTGATACTTCGCCCCCGAATTCCCATATGCCATCCCCAAGGCACCACACAACGTGAACCCACACGCTCCGATGAGATTCCAAAACGCAACATGCCACCCCAGCAGATGCGGTGCCGGCTTCCACCACTTGCTCTGCGTCTCCAACATGTACAGCGTGCTACTCACGACAAACCCACTGCCGCCAATGACTTGTGGAATCCAGTAGGCCGCGTTCAACCGCCACTGTGGAGTGAGGTGGTTGATTATGCCTGGTAATGCGGTAATGCCAGAGATGCCGAACACGGTGGCACCAAAGAGCTGGGCCGACCCGGCGAGGAAACCCAATTCGTGGAGATAGTGAGTACGTAGGTCATACCACGAGGGGAACCATTGCCAATGTTTCTGGTGTTCAACACTATGAGATGTCTGGGAGAGTATCGTGGAAGGCGACGGCTTTGGCTTGCCCACCAAGTTACGCTTATTCTGATGGTGGTGTCGGCAGTGGCGGCGAGTCGCAACTAGTTGTATCTTGGATTTGCCGTTGCCATCCTCGAGCAATTGTTCGAGGGCCCAGCCAAAACAGCCTGTATTATTAGCATTAATAGCTTCGGAAATGAGCAAGATGGAGCCGACTTCAAAAAAGAGAATGGCTCCGATGAAGGCAGTTATCCCACCGCCGTAGTAAGACTCCCCTGGAAACTCAGTCTCAGGTGCAACCAGTGGAAGCCACGCAAAGAAGCCCTAGAATCCATCAGTCAACTTTCTCTGCTCAAAGTCGCACAGCCACCATGACCGGTTACCGAGCATACCGGTCGAAAAATATAAACATACGTTGATAACCCAGACTACACTCCCCCAAGTGAATATAAAACCAACCAACCACGAAATATCCCATACAGGCAAATACGTAAACGTCCTGACCACATTCTTCACAACTTCCCTGGGATCCGACGTCCGTCTTGGTGTCACAAAAGGCGCATCTTCACCCGGAGATGCTGGCTGAACGAGCAGAGGATGCCGGCCCTTACGGTTGTCTCGCGATCGCCACAGAAACTTGATATACGTGGCGGGGATAGTGGAATCAACTTGTTTTGGTGGTTGTTTAAGGGGTGTATTGTTGTCATTGCTCTCCTGGGGTGGAGAGAGTCCTGCGTGATGGAAATGGGCTCTTGTTGGATTCAGGAAGCTGAAGGGTCCTTCGGCGTGGTGAAGTGTCAGGTCGTCGTCGTGCCGGAAGGGTTCTTTCGTGTGGAAGTCTTTATTTCGGAGTGGCATGGTCATAATAGTGTGGCAAGTCGCGATATCTGCTGGACACACTGCCGAAATTATAGGTGTAACGTATCCAAGTGCAGCATATCTTTCAATTTCTCAGTCGTGTGTTTCGCCGCGACATCCGGCTGAGCCCCTTCATCGGAAGAGCGAACATTCATTAAATGCTGCTTGCGGTGCAAAAATGTCGATACGGAAGTGGGATGTCGAAGACGAGAGCTCTCTTTAGTAACCCTGGTTGTCTAATGTGGGGCGACTTTCTCATGCAGGGGCAAATAAAATGCGACAGTTGCTAGTCTGCCCTACTTAAACTCTTTATCTTTTTTAATTGGTGCGTCTTTTACTACTAAATTTAATTATCATAGTTCTCTTACGAGCGGGCGTTGAGGGTGTACGATTTTTTAATATAAGCATATAACATATGCTAGTGTGTGTGACGTATCGCGATGCGTTTATGGTGCATTACGTGGTATTTTACGGTTCTCTGACTTGGTACGGCTAAAGACAGTGTTTCGCATCATGCCTGTATTATTATCTGTATCAGAAAAATTAAGAGAAAAATAAAGAAAGTTAAAAAAGAGGTGCGTTATGGCGTTAATAAAAAGGTTAGTGCGGACTGTTGCATGTTCAAAAATCGACCGTTGCGTGTTTAGTGCCCCCTGATGCGGTGGCAGCTTTTTCTTCCTCAAACGTCACATCCTACATGCTCCAATAAGCATCAATATCACTTTGCAGGTTTCGGGTCCTTCGCAGGGAAACTCGAATGCCCAATTAAGAAAATAGGAAGACTAATATGCAACCAAGTTGTATACTGTAACTACCAAAAACTTCAAGACAAAGGAAACGCGACAAATGAGCAACATATATATTGCGACAAGCATCCGATGCGTCAGTGGTATCATCCATGTCTTTTTGTGCCAGAAACAAGACGATAAACAAAAGAAAAGGGGAAAAGGAAAAAAGGAAAGAAAGGAAATACAAGGAGCTGAATGAATTCAGCATAATCTCATCTCCTGGTTACTTCTACTGCCATTCCTTCAAACCCAGTCTTCCCATGCTTCACCAACATCAAATAACGTCCCCCCTACAGAATGCTCTCGCGTGTTTCACAAAACCTCATATTGTTATCAGCTAAAGTTGTCGACGGGCACCCAAGTTCAGCCGCATCAATGTAAATGCTTTATTGACCCTGCGCTCGAT